GAGTGTGCATCATTTATGGATCATATGCATTATATGCACCGGTATGGGACGGTGGCATATTAGGGATGGATTAGATCAAAATGGTAATTCCTACCTATTCATACATACGGAATGGATTAACTAAAATAGTTAAATCCTACATGGATTCATGTCATGTTAACTAAAACAGTTGAATGATATATTGGATGTTTGTTTTATTTTCTGTATTAGGAAGGATTTATATATATACTTATGGTACCGTGATATGAGCTTGAGTCTTAGGATCATGGTTAGGGTGTGTATATCACCTAGAATGAGTAACTAGTTATAGTGGATATTCCCTGGTAGGTCTAGCTACACATGCACACCGTAATGTGTGATTTACATGTTACCTTCTATTCAGGCTGATACTACACTATGGGCTAGTGAGCGTCCTATAGTGTTTATTTATATCTATATGGACTACTTTAGTTATTGCCGAGCTATCTAGGATGTATCTGCATATCGGGTTTCTGTATGGATTGTAGTAGGATAGAACTTACATGTGGGCCTGACCCACTCTTATTTTTAGGTGTTCGTCAGTTCTAGGCTTAAAGCTTGATCGTACTGAGCAGATACAGTCATTCAGTCCTCCGACTGCATAGGATTTCCTTTCATATTTTAGTGTTGGGTTTTGATTCTGTATTTCACTTGCATTTAGGATTGTTAGGGGTCCACTAGGTGGATTCCCGAGTTGTATGGATATTGGAAAGTTTAAGTTATATTAATCTATAATTTGGAGGATTTTAATATTTAGAACTCTTTTCAGCTTTTATTATTTTATTTATTAATTCATTTTTGTATTCCGTGTTCAATTACATATTAATTGTTTGATATCTCTCGGATCTATACTCAGACTTGATCACCCATGGCTCTAGAATCGAGGGGTATCACACATTATCGTTGTGAAACGACCCACTCCACCACATGGTATGATATTGTCCGCTTTGGGCCTGAGCCCGCACGGTTTTGATATTGGACTTTACCCCAAAAGGCCTCAAACCAATTGGAGTGACACACTTACATATAAGCACTTCACCTTTGTTTTATCCAAGCAATGTGGGAGTACGCAACCGTAGCTTGCCAATGTGGTAGCCTGTCAGTGTCTTTCGCACCCTCCCACGGCACACCTGCCCACAGGGTCATCACAATCCACCCCCCTTGGAGGCCCTACGTCCTCGTCAGCACACTTCTGGCTGGGTCAAGCTCTGATACCATTTGTAACGAGAGGCCTTTTAGGGTAAAGCCCAAGATCAAAACTGTACGGGCTTAAGCCCAAAGCGGACAATATAATACCATGTGGTGGAGTGGATCGTTACAAATGGTATCAGAGCCTGACCCAGTCGGAAGTGTGCCGATGAGGACGTCAGGCCTCCAAGGAGGGTGGATTGTGATGACCCTGTGAGCGGGTGCGAGAGACACTGACAGGCTACCACACTAGCGAGCTACGGGTGCACAATCCCACATCGCCTGGGTAAAAGAAAGGTGAAGTGTTTATATGTAGGTGTGTCACTCAATTGGTATAAGGCCTTTTGAGTTAAAGCCCAAGATCAAAACCATGTGGGCTTAGGCCTAAAGCGGACAATATCATACCATGTGGTGGAGTGGGTCGTTAGAAATGGTATCAGAGCTTGACCTAGCCGAAAGTGTGCCGACGGGGACGTCGAGCCTCCAAAGGGGTGGATTGTGATGACCCTGTGGGCGGGTGTGCCGTGGACGTGTGCAAGACACTGACAAACTACCACACTGGTCAGCTACGGGTGCATAATCCTATATCGCCTAGGAAGGGAAATGAGGAAGTGTTTATATGTAGGTGTGTCACTCCAATTGGTATGAGGCCTTTTGGGGTAAAGCCCAAGGGCAAAACCGTGCGGATTCAGGCCCAAAGCGGACAATATCATACCATGTGGTAGAGTAGGTCATTACACATTGGGTAAGAATAATTATGTTATATTATTCGTTGATGATTTTAGTTGAAAAATATTAGTGTGTTTTCTTAAACAAAAATCTGATATGTATGGAATTTTTAAGAAATTTAAAGAAATTGTTGAAAAACAAAGTGGTTATAATGTAAAGACTTTCCGATCCGATAAAGGAGGTGAATTCACATAAAATGATTTCAAAAAATTTTGTGAATAAAATGGAACTCACAATCCTTTAACGGTTTCGAGTTCGCCCCAAATAAATGAAGTTGCAAAAAGGAAGAACATAAGCATTCTCAATATAGCTCGAAGCATGCTAAAAAGCAAGGAAATGCCTAAAGAATTTTGGGCTGAAGTTGTTGATTGTGCGATCTATTTGTCCAATTGGTGTCCTACTAGGAGTGTGCAAAACAAAACACCACAAGAAGCATGGAGCGGATGAAAGTCAAGTGTCTTTCATTTGCGGGTTTTTGGGAGCATTGCCCATGTGCACGTGCTAGATGAAAGGAGGACCAAGTTAGATAACAAAAGTGATAAAATGGTATTCATTAGCCAATATGCAAGTTCTAAAGGCTATAAGTTGTACAATCCAAGCAATGAAAAGATTATCATTTGTATAGATGTTGAATTCGAAGAGGAAGCTACATGGGATTAGAACACTCCAAATAAAGATTTTGATATTTTTTCAATTTCAAAGGAGGAGTAAGAAAGTGATGGCATGGAGCAACCCATTTTTCCACCAACATCACCTCCACCACCATTAATTCATGATCAATTAACTCCATCATTATAAAGCTCAAGTGGCACACCACCATCTCATATGAGGAGTCTTCGGGACATATATGATGAAACGGAAAAGGTAACAAAAAGATTTGGTGATTTAACACTTTCTTGTCTCTTTACGGATTATAAACCCATGGGATTTGAAAAGGCGGCACAAGACAAACAAAAAATAAAAAATAAAAATAAAAAAATAAAAAAATAAAAAAATAAAATAAAAATAGAGAAATACTATAAATGAAGAAATCAAATCCATAGAGAAGAATGACATATGGGAGCTTGCTACGGTTCCAAAAGAGCAAAAGGCAATTGGTGTCAAATGGGTGTATAAAGCAAAGAAGAATGCAAATGGTGAAGTTGAAAGATATAAAGTAAGATTGTTTGCCAAAGGGTACAACTAAAAGCCCAGAATTAACTATGATGAAGTATTTGCACCCCTAGCTCATTTAGAAATAATTAGATTGTTAATTTCTCTGGCAGCCCAAAACAATTGGAGAAACCACCAAATGAATGTGAAATTGGCATTCTTGAAGAAGAGATGTATGTTCAACAATCCATGGGCTATGTTGTGAAAGGGCAAGATGATAAAGTCTTGAAATTGAAAAATTCTTTATATGGCTTGAAACAAGCACCAAGGGCGTGGAATATATGGATTGACAAATATTTTCAAAATAACAATTATTTGAAGTGTCCATATGAACATACGCTTTACACCAAAATAAGTGAGAATGGAGATATATTTTTTGTTTGCTTATATGTTGATGATTTAATCTTCACAAGTAGCAATCCAATTTTTTTTAATATTTCAATAAGGCTACGGCTCAGGAGTTTGAGATGACGGACATTGGCATCATGGCCTACTATCTTGGCATTTAGGTCAAGAAAATGGAGGATATAATTTTTATTCACCAAGAAGGCTATGCTAAGGAAATTCTCAAAAAATTCAAGATGGAAGATTGTAAATTAGTGAACACAGCTATGGAAGTTGGAATCAAATTGTCAAAAGATGAAGATGGAGAGACGGTGGATCCAAAGAAGCAACCCATTGGCACCCTCTCAATTTGTGAAGAGCAATATGTTGCAGCCACTTCAAGTGTTTGTCAAATAATTTGGTTGAGGAATTTGTTGAAGGAATTACATATGCCACAAGAAAAGTCAACGGAGATTTTTGTGGACAACAAATCAGCAATTGTTTTTGCCAATAATCTAGTGTTTCATGGACGAAGCAAGCATATTGACACAAGATTTCATTTCATTAGAGAATGCATAACAAAGAACGAGGTGGAGCTCAAGTTCATCAAGTCACAGGATTAAGTTGCAAAGATTTTCGCCCAGCCCCTTAAGTTTGTAGAATTTCACAAGTTATGGAGTTTGCTTGGAGTTGAAAAGTCAAGTTTTTTATTAGGTGTTTAATTTTATGTTAATTAGAGTTTTTTATTAGAGTTAGTGGAAGGCATGAGAGTTTCAACTAGTAATGCTCATTGTTAGTGGAGATTACGCCTACTAAATGTTATATTAATGGAGTGTTAATTTTCATTTACATATAGTTGTTACGTGTGATTTGAAAATTATATAATTTCATGTATTTTTACTCATTTTTAATCAAGTGAAATAAAATTATTTCCTCCATTCAATTCTTTTCCAAATAATAGCATATATTGAGTGTTGTGTGCCACTATTTCTAACAAACCAGTCGGTTTGCATTTTACAATAGTAAAAAAGTCATCCTGTTCTTGTCGGAATTCCTAAAAACGCACATGAACCGAAAATATATAGGACCACAAGAGTATAATCAAGCTTGATCCCATGTTATATATGGTGCTAGTTTTCTATTTAAAAAACCTCCTCAACTGATCAGTATGGAAAATCACATAATAAAATTCAATAATAAAACAACATGAAAGCAAATTATATAAAACCCAAAAGTGAATGTTGTATAAAATTTATGGAGTTAAGGTTATAAAGAGAACTATATAAGTTCTACAAAAATTATCTTGATTTCGAATTATTAACAAAGATAAATTATGACTCGTTATGAGATTAACTCAAATTGATACGAAATTTGCTGAGTCTAAAGAAAAAAATTTAAAGATGTATTTTATTCAAGGAACGGGTACAAAAGTAATATATAACCACATATATATAAACAGACACAAACACACGCATCATGTTTTTTTCTTCTTATCAATATGAAACAGGAATAATAATTGTTATTTGATTAGTAGTTAGAACATGAATAATGGTAAATTGTATCACGATTCACGAGTCCTCTTTTTATAAATGGTAAATTCTTTTGCAGGAGAAATTCCGAAAGAGATGGGTAACCTTCTAAATTTGGAGGCATTAATAATAGAGAATAATAGCCTCAGTGGTCTCATTCCATCCTCCATCTTTAACATCACTTCTTTGAAACAGCTTGTTCTTGCTAGAAATTCCTTGACAGGTACAACCCTAGCCTTTTATTCGGCAATTTTTGCAAGTTATTTTTTTTTTTATGCTTTTTAAATTTTGCTACTGCACATAGCTTCATTTGTAGATGACTCTAGCCTTATTGAGTACACTTGTATAAACATGGAGTTTTATTATCACTAGTAGAACTTGCATGCATGAACAGGAGAACTTGCACACGTTAGTTTTTGTTATATATATGTGAATATATATATATATATATATATATATATTATTTTTGTTATAACTCATACGCCTTAAACTTTCCAATACATTTTTGCAGTAGTGAGGTTCTTCAACTATTGTGTTTCAATCACCACCATTGAATTTACACATTATATTTTTGTTTTTCGGTTTAACAGGTGTAATACCACAGGAGGTTTGTGACCTTCACAACTTGGAGGGATTCAGTTTAGGTTTGAATGTCCCATTCCAGCATTGATCTTTAACATCTCGACACTACGAGTCCTTTCACTTGTCTCCAATCAACTCTCAGGGAACCTTCCATCAAGCACAGGGAACAGGCTACCGAATCTTGAAGTACTTCATCTTGCAGATAATAACCTCAGTGGAATTCTCCCCGACTTCATCTCAAATGCATCTCAACTCACTTTTCTAGACCTCTCCCATAACTTATTCACTGGTTCAATTCCCAACTCACTTGGTAATTTGGTACACCTTCAAATTCTAAGCCTGGGAAACAACAGTTTCGTGAGTGGGCTTCATCTCCGAAATTGAGCTTCCTTAATTCTCTGACTAAATGCAGACAATTAAGAAGATTGTGGCTAAGTAATAATCCTCTAAATGGTATCCTTCCAACCTGGGTTTATTGGATTTCAGCAAAAATAATGTTTCTGCCCATACCGGCATGCTTGGGGAATATTACTTCTTGAGATATATATATCTACATTCTAACAGATTAAATTCCAGCATACCAACCTCCTTTTGGAGCCTCACAGATCTTCTGGAGTTGAGCCTCTCCTCAAATTCTTTAAGTGGTGGTCTACCCCCAGATATTGGTAACTTAAAGGCTGCGTATCTAATAGATCTATCAATGAATCAATTTTCAGGTGATATCCCAAGCACAATTTCAAGTCTGAAAAATCTGATCAATCTATCTTTGGCCCATAATATAATACAAGGGCCTATTCCAGACTCATTTGGCACCTTGGTAAATTTGGAATTCTTGGATCTATCCCAAAACATTCTCTCTGGTGTGATCCCCAAGTCATTAGAGGCACTCTTGTATCTCAAGTATTTCAGTGTATCTTTCAATGGACTAAGAGGAGAAATTCCCTATGGAGGTGCTATCACGAAATTCACGTATCAATCTTTTATGTCGAATGAAGCATTGTGTGGTGTTCCTCAGTTCCAAGTCCAGCCATGTGACAATAGTTCCCCACACAAATCAAAGACACAAAGAATGTTTCTAACTATGTTACCCAGAGTCGGGTACAGGTGTCGGACACGGGTGCGTGTCTAAGGGTCGGATTCGTCAATCTATCAATTTTCAGGATACGGGACACGGATTAAAAGTGTCCAAATATTGGACACGGGCACTTGAACACTTTGAAAAGAGAGAAAAATTTGTTAGTTTTTTTTTATGTTTGAGACATTAATCATAAAACTAAAAAATATATATATCAATTGTACTTTTTTATAAAAATTTTATAATTATTACTGCATTTGTTTGCCTCATTTGATTGGTGGCATGTCATGGCTATGCATTCCCCTGCTACTGCTGTTTTATGGAACCTGTAAATAAGAAATTCTGAGCTGTAGGGCTTCTTTTGTATACCCAAGGGCGGGTTTGGGCTTGGGCTAATATGCCTCTGTATGTGCATCTTGGCATTTGGGCCTGTACAAGTCAAAGCACAATTAAAAAGGATGACTAATTCAATATGGGCTAATATGTCTTTGTATGTGCATTTTAGTCATGGATTGATGCTTGGGTTTTGGGCCTGCACAAGTCCAAAGCACAATTAAAAAGGAAGCCCATTCAATGTACACGATATTTATAAGAGTACTGTAAAAAGCAAAGTTACAGCTGTAACCCACCACAGTAATGCTTTACAGCTGTGTCCCATCCCTTATCTTTTCAGATCCAAATAAACAAGTGTTAAGTTATTAACAATTGCATGAAACCACGCTCAAGATGGCACAAAAAATTGCACAAAAGCTAGCGCGTGCTGGTTCACAAACAACAAGTCGTCTTCAACCTCTAAACCACCGATCCGAACTAGAACGCCATTGTTGAAATAGAAAGCTTCGTATGGCTACAGATTTAACAAAAAAACACAAAAAAAATTCCTGATCCTTCATAAGAATCAAACTACACATCATTTTATGTATTTTCTTGGTCAGCCGTGTCCGATTAAAGAATGGAGGGTCGGACGCATATCCAGTGTCCGTGTCCGTGTCATGTCGTGTCGACACGGGCACTCTGGCTTTCACTGACGAGTCCAGGTAACACAGGTTTCTAATATATATTTTGTTGCCAATCGCATCAATACTTCTTGCCTCAGCAATTCTATTTTTGTGCCTCAAACACAGATGGAGGAGAAGTAAAGTTTCAATTCAGACTGAATTGATATCCATAGTTAAAAGTGGAAGAATTCCATATCATGAACTTGTGCGAGCAACAGATGGGTTTAGCGAAAGCAATTTGCTTGGCATGGGGAGTTTTGGTTCGGTTTACAGATGTACGCTAACAGATGGGACAATTTTGGTTGTAAAGCTTTTCAATCTATAACAAGAAGTTGCTTTCAAGAGTTTCAACACAAAATACGAAATATTGGGCAATATTTGCCATCAAAATTTAACCAAAGTCATAAGCATTTGCTCTAACTTTGATTTCAAGGCCTTGATACTCGAGTACATGCCTAACGGGAGCCTTAAAAATTGGTTGTATTCAGACAACTACTTCTTGGATATCTCGAAGAGATTGGACATAATGATAGATGTAGTGTGTGCATTGGCCTATCTCCACCATGATTACTCAATGTGTGTGGTTCATTGTGACCTCAAACCTAGCAATGTCCTTTTAGATGAAGATATGGTTGCACATGTGAGGGACTTCGGCATTGCAAAGCTCTTAGAACAGGGGGAGAGCATTACAGTAACCAAGACTCTAGCCACATTTAGGTATATTGTACCAGGTGAAGCTTTTAACTTTTAATTTTGCTTAAATTTCAATTTTTTGATTCTTTTTCTAATAACAAAAATTTAACCTTGATCACAACACTCCACGTTGATCTTTTGATTAATTATAATTTTTGATGTAGAGTATGGATTCGAAGGATTTGTGTCAATAAGGTGTGATGTTTATAGCTATGGCATTATATTGATGAAAACATTTACAAGAAGGAAACCCACTGATGAAATATTAGCTGGAGACATGAGCCTAAAGAGTTGGGTAAACCAGTCATTGCCCAATAAAATAATTCAAGTTATAGATTCCAACTTGCTAAGGCCAAAGGAAGCACACTTCACTGCAAAGCTGCAATGTTTATCATTCATCATGGAAATGGCTCAGAATTGCTTGACAAAATCACCACAAGAGAGGATCAACATAAAAGATGCTCTAGTAACACTTAAGAAGATCAAACTTCAATTGCTGCTCAAAAATTGTGACGGGACTTGAAGTAAGAAAGTAGTTCATTCCTACATTTATTTATTTTTGGATTAATTTTACTGACACCCCCTCAAATTTGACAAAATATCACCCCCAAACATATTTTGAAATTAACTACCACTCAGACCCCAATTTCTTTTTCCATTTCTTTTTTCCGTTAAAAGGTGCAAAATGACAATTTATCCCTATTTTTTTAATCTATTTTAAACCAAAATATCAAAACTATGAAGTAACCAAATTGCCTTTATTTATTACTCTATCACCCCCAAAACTATTCATCTCACTGTTTTCTCCATAAATATATATTTTTTTGGTGTACATGATAAGAGAGAGAGAGAGAGAGAGAGAGAGAGAGAGAGAGATATATAAAGAACAAATTTAAAAAATAATTATAAATTTATAATTATAATTTGGTTTTAAAAAATAATTATAAATTTATAATTATAATTTGGTTGGTTTTTAAAAAATAATTATAAATTTATAATTATAAAATTGATTGGTGTAAATAATGAGAAATATATATATATATAAAGAATAATTTTAAATTTATATAATGAAGGTCAAAGGGTATTCAAGTCATTTCAACCATTTTTTAAAGTCAACAAATAGTTAGAAGGGTAGCAATGTCATTTTACATACAAAAAGTATCCGACACACTTGAAAAGTAACTTTTGGGATGTAAGTGAAAAACAGACCAAGAGTTTGTACTGCGAGTGATAGTTATTTTTAAAAGATGATCATTCAATGTGATATTTGGCCAACCTTAAGGGGGTTTCAGTAAAATTAACCCTTTATTTTTTTTTTTTTTTAGATGTTTAAAGTTTTAACTTTCTCTAAGGCATGCAAATCCAAATGGTCATTAGTAACAAATGTCTAGTCATTCAACCTATCTTGAATAGAGGATGAGTTAAAAATTCAGTCATTTTTAATGCGCTAATGAAGTGATTTATTGCAATCCCTCGCAGGACTCTAACAGGTACAAGTTGCTGTGGCTCCTCTGTTCCATTGTACTAGAATCAAGGTAGACCTTTTTAATTTTTTGTTTTATTTTTAATAGCTGTTTAAATTTGCTTTCTTTGTATCAAATGCTTAATGTAGTAGTTAGATCCATTAATATTCAGTGTTTCAGTTATGCAGTGTTTGGTCTTTTCATGTAGGCCTCTTTGCCAGCTGCATTTATAATGATTGTATGCACGGAAGAACTCTGGAGAAAGAGTTTGTTTACTCGACTTTGTGTTATGCAAAAGGTCCATGAAAGATGAAACCTGACCAAAACCCGACTCTCACCTGTCTGGCCCAATATTTCCATTACAAACCAGATTAGCCTAGCCCGATTTAAGTCCAAATTAGTCATATACTATACTGTATAAGATTACAACGTTTGACTATTAGCGAATAGGTAGCATTTTAATTACAATACGTTACAATATATGACACATGCATATTTGACAAATATAAATTAATATAATAGATTATAGAACAAGTTATCATGAGAACACTTCACTTGTCATTAGCTATGGATGCTTATAATTCGTGATCCATGAGCCAAATAAGGAGGGCTAGGTTAATATAAAATAGAATCTTTATTTAAGAACAAGTTATCCCACTTTGCTTGTCTCACCATCTTATTTTCAAATTGTTTGATTCAAAATCATTTAAAATTTTAAATTTAAATATTCAAAACTTATAAATTAGTAACTTTTCAGAAAATAATGCACGTTCCACGCATTCCTTTAAAAAAATGTACTCTCCAAAAAATATATATATGTGTCTATATATTTTTGGAACACAGAGAGTAATTATCATTGGCATGACAATGAGAAAGGACCACAGTAATTTTAGGAGAAGATAGCTTAAAGATTGTTCCATTGACTTGACATCCATTAAACTTTATAGAAAATTTATGTTACAAATATAGTTTTCATTGTTTACATGTGAATTGCAATCTGAGTTGGTATTCCTAATTAATCACATACACTCGTGGAGAAAACATGTGTTGCTCTTTATCATACAGTGTTGTTACTGCCTTGTCTTGTGGCTTGTTTAGTTAAGAGTGCACCCAACATTACCAGTGACCAATCTTCTCTTCTTGCCTTGAAAGCCCATATCACTTTTGACCCCCATGGTGTCTTGGCTAACACCTGGTTCACAGCTACCTCCATTTGCAACTGGGTTGGAGTCACTTGTGGCACTCGCCACCTGCGAGTGACATCCTTGGACATTTCTGACATGGCTCTTGAAGGTACCATTCCACCACACCTCAGTCTCTCCTTTCTCATTTCCCTTGACCTTAGTAACAACACTTTCAGTGGTCATCTACCCGAAATCTTGCTAACAATAGTTTTACAGGTGCCATCCCACCTTCCCTCTCAACATGTCGAAGCTAGAGACCTTGCGTTTACATTCCAATTTTCTACAAGGAATGATTCCACAAGAAATTGGTAATCTTCGTGACTTGAAGATTTTGGATATGCAACGTAATCAGCTTACAAGTTATTTGCCACTCAGCCATCTTCAACATCTCCTTATTGCAAGTTATTGTGTTTACAAATAGTAGCATATCTGGTAGTCTTCCAATGGATATGTGCCATGGTCTTTCGAATCTCCATGAGCTTTATCTATCTTACAACAACATGATAGCCAGATTCCATCAAGTTTATACGAGTGCTCCGAACTGCAAATTTCTTGAGCCGAGAGTTTTAGAAATTCATTTTTATTATTTTAAATCAATTAGAAGTGACGGGGTCATTTTTATAATTTTTCGGAAGTCGGAACGATTTCCAGGCTCGAGAATCTCTTCCGGTTTTTCCATTTGCATTGAAGGGCATTATAGACCTTTCACTCATATATACGTTTACATGTATTTATATATTAGAGGAGATATTTTGGAAATAATCATGGCATTGTGATAGAAGGGGGAGGGCAATGTGGTAAGTTTGCTTAAAGTTAGAATCCACCAAAATGAGACACATGGCATCTTTGGGACCATGGAACCAATTTGAAAGTTGACTAACACCCCTCTTCTAATTCCCCTCATTCAACCAACCCCATTATCTCTCTAAACTTTTTCCTTCTCTCTTTATATTTATATACATCATATATTCCATTGTTTCAAGTTAAGATTGGAGAGGGTTAGGGTGAGTTTTTGACGAAGGCAAAGAAGGGAAAGTGAAAAAGCTTGGAGAGGGTTAGGGTGAGTTTTTGAAGAAGGCAAAGAAGGGAAAGTGAAAAAGCTTGGATAGGGCTATCTTTGTACACCTATATTGCAAGGGGTTAGAGGAATTCGAAATTTGGGTTTGCTTAGGGCTTGTTTATCTAGCACAATTTGAGGCAGGGATTTCTACGCCTCATATCCTTTGGTCTTTTGTGAGTATTTTGTTGTAAGAGTATGCTAAAGTGTATGCATGTAATGATGTTCTATGCATGATGAGTATATGGTATAACTTTCAAGAATGAATTTCATGTCAAAGTTAGTCAAGAAGTGTAAATTTGCATGCCTATGTGATTGAGTGTGCCTTTGCTTACATGGTTATATGATGAAATTTATAAGCCTTAACACGCCACGATTGTGATAATTTCTATGTATGTTATCATGTGCCCCATTATAGAGATTGTGGCTAAATTGAATATAAAACATTGGCATATGATATATACATTATGTCATTGAGAGGGAGCATGGATGGGGATGAAAATTAGAAACTTGGTTTCTAAAAGTTTCTAAAAGAAAATTTTGCGAAACCGGACAACAAGGAGTTATCTTGTGTCCGTGGGGTTAATACAATCTAAAAGGAACGTGGGGTGAATAGCTTACGTGTGGTTGAGTCACCTAAGTCCTAAATGATGCTAGGGAGTCGCCCTAGGTCAGGGATAGACAACCAATCCTTCTCTTGTGGTAGTGGGGAGTCACCTCGTATCAGGTTGGATTAACAAGTTCAGTGTGTGTATGATTTGTATTTGAGGATAAAAGGGTTTTGAGACGGACATATGCATTGCATGGCATTGCATTGCATTCATATACATTATGATGACGTACTATTGATATAATGATGAGGACTTGTATCATTTTCTTATGTCCCCTTTCAAACTTACATGATCCCATTTCCTTTTTTTTCGTTCTTCATTGGGTGTGACTCATGGGATTGGAAGGGGTGCATCATAGGTTTCATCTACTGAGCCATAGTGCTTACCCTATTATTATCATTTTTTAGGTCACGGCAAGGATGTGATTGATGACGGACCCTCACAAAGGTAGCTAGGGTTGACGGATGTACTTTTTTGCAATCTTTTGTAACCAATGCTTCATAGACTTAAATTCTTTTGTAAAGCATTGTATTCACGACCTTAAGCGTCTCAAACTTGTAATTAAATTCTTTTGAACTACTTTTGTATAATTTGGACATGTAAGTGATGAGGATGACAACTATATTCACACCTAGGAGTTTTAGGATGATGTAATTTGAATCATTCTATTGTAGGGATGTTATTTTGGTAGTGTATCTATGTATGTGGATGTTTTTGGACAAGTTTTGAGTTATATGAATGGGTGCATTACCAGAATTGTAAGGTATTATCAAACCAGAGCTCCCTTGGGAGCCCATGTACGCACATTCTAGGTTCAGTCCGATCAATCGGAATTCAATTCGATCGATCAGATTTTTTCATACTTAGAATATTTTGAAAACCCTCCAAAATTTGCTCTCAGTCCGATCGATCGGATTTTCCTAGACTTCGAAAATTTTGAGGTTATCGAAATCAATCGAATTGACCAAACTTTAATTAATCATAACTTGGTCATTTCTAACCCAATTTAAGCCATTCTTGAGTCTAGATTTATGAATTTGGTGCCACCTTTCCATTGGCATAAACCTAATTTTATGATTTTAACTTGAAATGACTATTTTACCCCTCGTGAACCTAAGGTTCCGGCATGAACCTGAAGTCGAAGTTACCATCCTTAAACGATCCATTATGATTATAAATGACTAATATGACTTCATTGTGACTCCTAA